TAGTTTGGGTACTTTACCAGTCCACATCTCGTGAGGAGTTTTGGCAACTTTCTTTGTAGGGACTAGATTAAGGATATTGGCGACAGTCTCTAAGGCATACCCCCAGAATGAGATTGGTAACGAAGCTTGACTCATCATGGAACGAACCATATCCAACAAGGTTCGATTATGCCTCTCAGCCACACCATTCAACTGTGTTATCCTGGGAGGTGTCAATTGTGAGACAATCCCACATTCCCTAATATAGTCGAGGAACTCTGAACTAAGATACTCACCACCTCGATCAGATCGAAGCATCTTAATGTTCCTACCCAATTGATTCTCGACTTCCTGTTTAAATTCCTTAAACCTTTCGAAAGTCTTTGACTTATGCTTGATTAAGTAGACATATCCATATCTGATGTAATCATCAGTAAAAGTCAAATAATAACGATTAGCATCCCTTGTGGCATGTTTGAATGGTCCATACACATCCGTGTGTACAAGGTCCAACAAACCTTTACCCCTCTCACACGAGCCTGTGAAGGGTGACTTTGTCATTTTTCCAAGTAAGCATGATTCGCAACTATCATCTGACTTTAGGTCAAGCGACTCCAAGACTCCATCCTTTTGGAGTTGGCTTATGCGTTTCTTGCTTACATGTCCAAGTCGACAATGCCATAATGATGATTTATCCAAGTTATTATTATTAAGAGAATCAATACACAAAACATTATTTCCTAAGTTATCTACAATAGATACAGCTTCATACACACCATAACAAGGTAATGCTTTTAAATAAAGAACATTATTAAAGAAAGCATCAATAGAACCAACTTTCATTATTAAATGAAAAGGTAAACCCTTGTTTGTACAATGCATGAAAGGAAATAATATTTCTTGCCATTTTTGGTGAATAACAACATTTATTCAAATCTAAATTTAACCCACTACTTAGCGACAAAGTATAAACTCCAATCTTGGTGACAGGTGTAACTTTCCTATTCCCCGTGATTAAGTTTATTCTTCCTTGCTCCACATTCTCACTTCTTCTTAGTCCCTGCAAGTCACAACAAATATGAATACCACAATCGATATCAAGGACCCAAGATTTAGAATGGGGTGATTTATTAGAAATGATAGTGTAAATACCTGCATGGTTGGGTTTAACTTTCCCATCCTTCACATCTTGCTGGTATTTTGGGAAGTTCCGCTTCCAATGTGATTTTTCATGGCAACAGAAGCATTCAGCCTCTTTTGGGTTAGAAGAAGGAGTGACGAAACCTTTCTTGGTTCCACTTGAAGAAGAGCCATCAAGGGTCCTAACCTTGATACCCTTCGAAGAACTCTTTCTCTTCTTCCCTCGACTTTTCCCGATTGCCAAAACCGGAGTGAAGTTTGGAGTAGGAGTGTTAACAACCGACTTCCCCTTAAGACCTGTTTCAGTGGTCTTGAGAAGTCCCTGAAGTTTGCTGAGTGTGACCTCTTCGTTATTCATGTGATACGACATGCGGAATTGATCTTTAGCACGATGGTAAGGAGTGCAAAATGATATCTATTGCAAGCTCCTTAGGGAAGTTCACATTAAGCTTCAGCAATCGATCCACATACCTTTGCATTTTCTGCATGTGACTCGTGATGGATTCCCCGTCCTTCATCATGGTTGTTATCATGGAGCAGATGATTTCATACCTCTCTTTTCGTGCACTTTGATGGTATCTTTCCATCAGATCTTGGTGCATTTCATAAGGGTAGAAATCCTCATAGGACTTTTGGAGTTCCGCTATCATCGTGGCCATCATGATGCATGCCACTTTGGTAGCATCCCTTTCATGTGCCTGAAAGTCAGCGATCTCCTGAGGAGTTGTAGTGGTCTCATCAATCTCCTTAAGCTCCTTGTCAAGGACATATTCTTTGTCCTCGTAGCGGGTAATCATCCTGATGTTTCTGATCCACTCATTGAAGTTGGATCCATCAAAAGTGACTTTCCCACACAAGTTCATAAGGGTAAAGGAGCCACCTTGGATTAGAGCCAGAAGCAGCATTGTTTGAAGACATCTGAAGGAAGAGGACAAGATTAGTTTAGATATTAAGAGAGTCCTTAATAATACACCCAAATGTAATATTAAGGCTAGGATCCAATCACAATATATTATAACTTAGAAGAGGTATGCCGTAATCCAAGCTATAACATATTTGAAAGGTAGGTGAATGACGACTCACCAATTTCCACCACGAAAACCGAAATGTTAAATATTAGGTTTTCGATTGGTTCTTAGAAATTCCTAGATTCTTTAAGATTCAATGAACTTTTCAAAGGCATGTTTCAATCTCGAGTGTGCCCTCCAAGTTTTGTGACTGGGATACCGAGGATCACAAAACGAGGTGTGAAGTAACCATGCAAATCACTTGGTACCCTTAAAGTTTATCACTCAATCGATGTGCCAGTAAACCATACACGCTCCACCAATACTATAATAAACCTTAAGTCACCCTTTACCTACCTTGTTAAGTCCAAGTTAGTGTGCCGGTTAACCACACATGCTCCACCAACGACTTAAACAAAGTGTAAAGTGTAATTTCATGGATTAGCACCTTATTCACATTTTCCCTAAAGTAACTAAGATTGGGAATTTAATAAAACATTTAGTTTCTTTAATATTCATCATACTTTTAATGAGAATTTATAAGTCCTTGTCCTACCCGTTCGGCTAACGACCCTCCACCAGTCAAGCAAGCGGTGGTGAGAATGGACACCCATTAAGTTGCCATTTTATAGGCAACAACCTTATACCACCTTATAGACCGGCTTCGTGAATGAGGCGTACTAGCGGTAAGACGACTTTGTTCTTATACACACACATACACACACACACATATATATATATATATATATATATATATATATATAATTATTAAATTATAATAATATAAGTATAAGGGTTGAATTTTAACTTTTAAAATTCTAAGGGTTGGAACTAAAGTTTTAACATGACTTACTTGTTCCAAAACTTGAGGGCAAGTTTTGTAAACTTTCAAAACTTTTCATTTCTTGTAACTTATGAGTTTAATAGAGTAATAAAAATGAAGACTCTTCATTTTTCTAACTCTTGTGTTCTTTTAATGGTTTTAATTCAAGTGACTTTTGGTTTTCCATAACTTGAGGAAAAGTTATGGACTCCATTAAAACACATTATGATCAAGAATTAATCTACCACATAGGTTACAAATAATTCCTATGATCATCTAAACATCATAAGATCAAGAACATGAATATGAACACTTTCATGAATCAAAATTACACTTAAAACTTTGTAATTTTGATAACTAGTTGTTGTAAATGAATTAGTAAAGACATTACACCATCTAAAACAAGTTTTCAAGTACCAAAACAGTTTAGGGTAATGTTTCTAGTCCATTTCCAGCAACTAAAGTAGAAAATCTGCACTTTGTGGCTCCTACTCGCCGAGTGCATGAACCTACTCGGCGAGTAGGTTGAAGATACAAGTGAACTCGGCAAGTCCCCCCATGGACTCGGCGAGTTCATCAGGCAGACAACAAGTTTTTCGACTTTTTTCAACTTTTTAGCACAAATAACAAACAAACAAGCCTAGGCTCTGATACCACTGATGGGTTTTGAGCATTCTAACACTTCCTAAGTGTACATGCAACCCTAATAACCTTGGATCTATGTTTGTCTAATTATCATGCAAAGTTGAATTCCAAGGTTATATTCCTATCTAGCATACATGGGGAACAATTTTTAACTTGAATGAAAGATAGAATAATTTACCTTGTTGTTGGTTATGTTCCTTGAAACCTTGTGAGCCTAGCACCCCAAGTGTGATGCCTCAAATGCTTCACACAACACCAAATGCTCTTGGAAAGACTTTTGAGATAATACACACTATTTGAAATCGGCCTAGCCCTCTTGTTTCATATGTGTAGCCGATTTTGGTGGAGAATAGGATTTTTATATAGTGTTGACACATCTAGGGTTACACCATGTAAACCCTAATGTGTCATGACTCTTCATTTCCATGACCCATGGGTTTGTAACTCCCATGGAGCATCCTATGGGTGGAACCCAACTTGATAATCCATGGAGCCTCTTAGCCCACTATACAAGATATGGATGATTTACATAATCAACCCATATATTTAATTAGTTATCTTTTGATCACTTAATTAATTCTAAATTAATTCTTGATCAAACTAATCAAATAATATTATTAATATATTAGAACTTATAATATATTAATAATCTCCAAGTGTTATTTCTCTCATTTAGTCTATCCAATTGCATGGTGCCATGCAACCAAAATGGACCATGTCGGGTCGGGTCAAGTACATACCAGAAATAGTTATGGAGTTAGACACCTTATCCAACAAAAACATGATTGGCGATTAGAACAACAACTAGAACAGAAAAGAGATCTTGTATCTACAAAATTTGTATGGTTACTTACTTCCTCTGATAATTCACACTTTTCGATAACCTATATAAGCATAATACTACTACCTATATGATATAACATGTACTCCACATTATATTAATCTTCAATTAGTTAACCACTTGTTTACCCGATGATGGTCAAATAGAGTAAAAGTAACATCCTTTTATGTCAATATCTGCTAAAATGTTCCTTAATCCTTATTCTACAACATGGAATCAATATTCGACTAGTTACTCGACATGTCCAACACACCAGTATTCAACTTATTTAAAAATATCATATCAATATGATCGAATTAAAATCTCACAGTTGTAGGAACATGAAATACAGGTAGATGACACATATAAAGGGAGTGGGCTCAATTATTCTCAATTGTCCCTTATATTGTATTTTGATAAATAAAAGGGAGAATTAAATATTAGTCCTACAATGTATTGCACATTTGTCCATTCAGTCCCTTAACTTATTTTCGTGCTTTATGAAAGAATAAAGTTATTTTTGTCGGATCTAATTAATTACTTTGGACAAAATAAAGGTGTAACCTGGTTACCCTTTGCCAAATGGATGCTTGATGACTTTGAAAAGTCTGAAAGGACTGTTAGAAAGGGAATAAGTGACAACAAGGGAGAAATACTTTGTTTTGCCTACGCTTCAGGTTCTTGTCATACTGCTTCGGATTTGAACCATCCTTCATGCTGGATTGATGCTCTTTCCATAAACGCCATTATTTCCATGGGTGAGTGAATCAATTTCGATTCAGAAACGCCCAACACGACATTCTTTGCAACCCAATCGCTCCAATAATCATTCAAACTCTTCAATTCCACAGATTTATTGATCTTAACAAATTGTTCTCTGTTACTTTCATCTTGGACTAGTAAAGAGGTTTCTAATTCTTTAGCATACTTTGGGTCACACAAATTGCGGTTTCACATGGCTCATGGTCTTGAACTATTAGAGCAACGAGTAAGGGGAAGCAAAGACGTGCTTACAAGGTTGCGTAAGTCAGGCATCGTTATGATAAACATATAAACCATAAAAAAGAAACTGGAAGATTTGTGGTGTTTAGGAGATTATCATTTGGGGCAAAAAGGCTATTTGATTCAACATTTTCGTTTGTAAAGATTTTGTTGAGGGAGAAGGCAAAGTATAATATGGTATTACACACACAGCTGGTGTTGTCAAACCCGATTACTTGATTTCTTGTTTCTTTTCTTCCTTCATAAAATTGAGTCTGATTTTTGTTCTTTTTAATCGCATTTGAAACTCTGATTGAGCATTGACTGATCTTATAACTTGAAAACATAGTTTGCATACTTTACTTCATAAAAATATGAAAAGGGCAAGAAGGATAGTTGCTCAACGAGGAGTCAAGAAGATATCCGAAGAACCCAATGGAAGCTCCATTTTCCAGGTTTCTCTGTAATCTTCTGAATTCCATTGATTTGTTTGAGTATTATAACCAGTTGCTTGAGGTTTGGCCTTTGAGATGGTATTTGCAAATTATTGGAGAGTTAACAAGAAAGAATATTACCTTTGTTTCCCATTTTGGATTTGGATTTTGAAATTGTGAATTAGGTGTAGATCAAATATAGATGTATAGAAGTAAGTAGTAGTAGGCTCCTACACAAACAGAATATGAACCACACTAAAGTTTGAATGATTGGTTTGAATCCTAGATCGTGACACTAACTACGCAAATATGCAATACATTATAGGGTTAATGTGTAATTTTTCCTAAATAAAATTGTTTAGTAAATAATTTTTTGAATTAATATTCTTTTTATTTAAACTTTATTATATTAGAGAATTACTGGCGAGGAATGAGGATGCAGTCGTAAAGTTGCTTTTGTGATTGTGGCACCACAAATCTACTGTATCATTCTATGAGCAGACCGGGTCTTCTCAAATCTACAACAATCCAATTCTGTAGCAATTCTTATATATTAGTGTATGGGTATGTTTTTTTTTTTCCAGAGCAACAGTTAAGGGTGTGTGTGGGTTATCTTTTTTAGTGGCAAAAGTTCTTTTTAGAAAAGTTATAAAAAGTCAGGTTTTTCTGACTTTTCCAAAAAGTAAGTTTTTTCTATATACAAAATTCAAAATTAATTTTTAAAATGGTTTTACCAAACATCTTTTATATTTTATGGTTTCTTAAAAAGACTTTTGGCCTCTCAAAAGATAAGTCAAACACCCTCTAAGCCAAAGAAAAGCATATATAGGTCTTGATATTGATAACAATAGAATTTATGCATTGCGACTTGCCATCAAACACCAGAGGGTTTCTGTCACCAGACGATGACCTTGAAACCCGGAAATTGGGCAAAATGGGAAAAATTATAAAAATAGTTTTTTAATTGGAAATAAAAAAATATATGGGAAAAACATAACAATTTTAGTCTTTTTGAAATGGAAAGTGACTCATACACAAAAGTTATTCTCCATACACAACAATTGATATTTTATAAAGTTGTACAATACAACATTTTAAAGCATAAATTACTGTGTATAAAAAAAATGTTGCGTACAAAGGAGCTTCCGAAATTAACCCATATTTTATATTAACACAATTCACTAAATAAAAAACAAGCTTTATTTATATACAACACTTACCATATACATAACTTATCCAACAGTTAACAATAATAGTTTTTATAGATCATACGAAATTCATCCTTTTTGGAATTTGTATTCCTGCCCTCTTCAAAAGTTGTGCAGCAGCATTCTTTGCCATTGAAATAATTTCAGCCTGCCCGTTGACAAATTAATTCCATAGTTTTTTACATAAATAATTAAAACTTTATTTTTGGCAAATATGTATTTAAAATTGTGCCCATGGTACCTCATCAACATTCATGATTTTCTGATTCTTCATTATCCAATGGCCATTGCACATAACAGAGACGATATTTTCAGTTCGCAAGCAATAAACAAGGTTGGAAATGCTGCATCATGTATACAGCAGCAATTTTCTTATTAAAAACAAGAATTAGGATCATGTGAAATCAACAACATATATATAAGTCTTGTTTTTTCTTTACGTAGATGGACTTTATATATAGGAGACAATAGAAAATTTTATATTGATTGAGCACGTTACCCTACAAGACTTGATTGTAAAAGAACACAGACCCATAATTTGAAATATTACATAAAGTTGTGAATATATACCAGTCATGAATTGGAACCATAGACCAAGAGGAAGGATTGATTACAATCATATCAGCCTGAAAACAAGATATGCATATATATATAACTATAAGAACAAGATTAAAAATCTTTTTTTTCATCTTTTATGCTATATGGAACTTGCAACCACAGCAAAAGTAAAAACCTTTTTTCCAACTTGAAGAGATCCTATATCGTTCTCCCAGAGTAGTGCTTTTGCACCATTTAGAGTCGCCATGTTGAGAAGTGTTTCAGCTGGAAGAATTGTAGGGTTTGTAGTGCCAGTTGCATAAACTTCTCTTCCCTTGTTGATCAAAGAAGCTATATACATCTCGTCAACTGTAAAAAATAGTAGTACCAAAATTTAATTGGAAATGATTTATTTGTATGTTTGAGAAAAATAATACATACAACATACCAATGCTCATTCTATTATTTGATGGTGCTCCGTCTGTTCCTAATGATACACAAATGTTGGCATCAAGCATTTCCCTGATTGGCGCAAATCCAAGCATCCGCATTGCAGCAGCAGGACAGTGGGACACCTTAACCCCACAACTAGAAAGAAATCCAATCTAAAAAATTTCATAAACTACTGCATTATATATATAACTAACTAACATGCATAGTAAAATAATAGTAATAATAATAATCGAAGTAGAATTTTGATGATTACCTCCTTTTCATTCACCCAAACAGAATGAGCTGCAAGCAAATTGCTTCTCAAAAATTTTATTTTTTCCAAATACGTAACTGTTCCATGATCAACTTCCCGTGTTTGCATCACAACATGATTTTCAGAAGGTATCTCAGCAACATGCTATCAGGTTTTCAAACAATTAACACCAGAGATGCAGAGGAGATTCACCAACATCACAAAATCTAATTAATCTGTTGAAAATTCAAGTGAGAGAGAGAGAGAGAGAGAGAGAGAGAGACCATGTGGATTCCGGTATTCAGTTGTTTGGCTGTATCTCTAGTTTGAAGGAGCAAATCATCAGTTGAATTCATAATCTGTCTTATCCCAAGCCATATTCTGATGCGTCCATCAGCAGTATCATGGTGCTTCTTATGCAATTCCTTTTGGGACTGAAATCCCCACATTTATTAACTATGTAGCGAGTGAGTGTTTCTCAAGTGCATAGCTAGTTTTGGAAATTTACCTGAATACATTCGTCTGCAGTCCTAATGCCCCATGAAGATGGTAAGCCATCGCCAGAATCCATGATTGACTCTGTCAAACATGCACGCAAGCCTAGTAATTCTACTGCCTTTGCCATTCCTGATACATGTTGTCCTCCTGCTTCTGCGAAGCATGTCACCTGATCCAAATTTTCAACACTTCAAATTGGAAAAAAACTCTGGCATCATTTTGTTGTATTCTAAAATCCCACAACCTTACACCAGAGTGAATGAGTTCGATTCCACAAAGTAAAGTGGAGATGTATGAATCTTCTTCAGTCATGTTCGATTCATATGGCCAAATGCGATGGTGCAACCACGTAAGCAAATCGACGTCATCAGCAATCCCTCTAGCTAGTTGTTGAGACGTATGAACGTGTGTATTGATCAAACCTAATTAAAATTTAAATAAGGACCACTTTAAACTGAAATCTAATTAAACGCACAAAAGTTGAAAACCTTAAAAAGCATTTTGCTTGAATTGGTTGCAAGTCGTCTTTACAACAATTCGATTTTATGTAAAAGGTTAAATCATAATTATAGTGAACAGAAAATAACCAGGAAGTAGAAATTGGCCATGGAGATCGATGGTTTCCTGTGAATTTGAAGAGAATTGACGGATTATATCTGACGATTGACCGACGGCTATGATTCTATCGTTGTCAATAACGATTCCGCCATTAAGAAACACACGGAGTTCATTATCCATAGTCACGATCATCGCATTGTGGATTATAAGCTGTGAGCTGTTCATATCAGTAACACCGTTCATGACTCCTTGCTCTGTTTCACTTTCTGAATGAGGGATATCTCAGAACATCCTAGGTCAACGGTTGATCTTAATCATCTTATAACATTGGCACAAAGTTGCATTATTGCAAAAATAAATAAATAAATAAAAGTATCACGAATAGATTTTAAGAAAATTTTTTACATTAATAATTCGGGTATTGCTAACGGCATCGGATTATAGGTCAAAACCACTAAAAACCTCAAAACCACTTTTAATAAACCACTATTAATAGGGTCAAAACCATTAAAATATAGTATTAAAAATTTATAAAGTCACGGAACAATAAAATTTCATCTTTACTCTTTTACTTTATACATTGTTTTCTATTTCAATCCGTTTTAACTTTGAATTATTTTACTTACAACCCTTTATTTTCTATTCTTTATAATTACTAACATATAACTTGAATGTGGCTTTTAGTTTATTGAATTCAGTTTTTTAATTGATTTATATGTTTGTTCGTAAGTTTATTTAATCTTCTTTTTGTAATTATTCTTTGGAAACATGATATAACCAAGTTATTTTATCATTAAGGAATATATATATATATATATATATATATATATATATATATATATATATATATATATATATATATATATATATATATATATATATATATATATATATATATATATATATATATATATATATATATACTACATTCTTAACCTTTTAAAATGAAATATATTTTTATTATTTTATTGTCTTGCTACCAATATTTTTTATGGATATTATGTTAATTTTGTAAACAACTCTACGATCATAATGAAAATAAATATGTATGTTAGTAGTTGATCTTTTTATTATAATAACGTAACCAAGTCGATACTCCGTCTTTTTAACTCGGTCTATTAATTGTTCACAAGAACTAAATACCTGGAAATAATTTTTTATTATAGTACTTTTACTGTTTATAACTTTTACCATGTCATTTTCAAAATTTCATGCGTCACTAACGAAGTAATTTATTTTAGCATCGTCATCTTGAGGTGCATTGCTTGTATGAATATCGCTAGCCTAATTAATACATATACATATTAATATATATGATTTACATAAACATAAATATCTTAATAATAATAAATGAACATAACTCATAATTTATTTCATTAAACGATGACAAATACTTGTGTTCTTTTGTTTAGTTACACGAACAAAAATCATGTTTAGATTCGTTCATTTATTAAATAAACGAAAATAAATGTTTTGTTTGTCAAAGTGGATGTTTGGATATGCATTCGATTTGTTTACCTTCAAATTTTATAATAACTCTTCAATTTTAAAGAGAAAATGAGAAAAATAGCTATTTATACTAATTACATTACAAAAATAGCCAAAAAAAATCGAAATTGCAAAAATAGCCCTCAATTTCGTAGATGGAATTGACCCATCTGCGAAATGACCATTCCATCTGCGAATGTACAAGCTGCTAAAGCCAAAATGATCATTCCATGTGCGAATGTATAAGCTGCTAAATCAATGTTCCATCTGCGATTTCCCCTAGGTTTGACTATATAAACGTTTTTTTCTCCATTTTCACTATTCTCTACACAAAAATTCTCTCTATCTGTGGGCTATTCTCGCGATTTTAGCTAGTTTTTGAAGAAAATTGAGGATTATGTCAACAATGCCGCAAATATGGTTAGATTTTAACTCTTTTAATGTTTTAACTCTTTATTATTTTATCATTTATTGTATTATTTAGTGTAAAAAAATAGAAATTATAAAGTTTGTGAAAGGGTAATTTTGTTGTGTTTGATAGTTTTAATATTTCTTTAGTATACTTGAACTTTAAATGCTATTTTGTTAGTGCTTGTTTGAATGTACAAGTAGAGACTACGTAAAGTGTGCATCTGGTGGTTTAAATTT